CTGATGAGGCGTCCTCTGACCTCACTGTTCCTACGGGTGCCTTCCTGGGCGCACCGCTCCCGGTGCCGCAGTCGCCGCCGACGCTGCCCCAGCCGACTCGGCCGGGCCGTGTGAGGAGGCCGCCTGCACGTTATGAGCCCGAGTCTGGCAGCTGGATACGGGATTTAGACCGTTAACCTATTCCGGCCCATAGCTTTCCGGTCTGGGGTGGATGAAGAGTTTTCCGCCGGCCACTAGAGGGTAGTGTCACTGCTGTCGCTGCCCAGTTATGCCGTGCTCTGACCCGGTAGTGCTGAGCGGCCATTTTAGTTCAAACATTGTTCATTCACTCCGCCTCGAGTTGAGACGTTCGTCCACTCATTCATGTAAGACTGTTTCCACTATTATATTATACTATATATATATTATACTATTATACTACTATACTCTGTGTCGTGGTATATATTTGTGTTGATGTAATTGCATGGATGTAATACTTTGTCAGCTTATCTTGCTGCATTAATCTGTTTCAGGGTGTCGTCATCCTTATCAATAAAATACCCAAACTGACATTGAGGAGTGTGTTTCTTCATTTGTGCTAAGCTAGGCTAAACACATTGTAGCTTCTCCTCTGGCTCTGGGTTTGACGGTAACATGAGGATTTATCAACATGCCAGAATAAGAATACCTTTATTTGTCCCACATAGGGGAAATGTACAGGAATCCTCACCTTTGGTGTATTTCACTCTATATTGACACAAAATTGAATCATGTATGATCTTATTTTTGACTTTACATGGTTCCTCAGGATTGACCCTCCTTCCCTCTCTCTCTGTTTCTTGTCCTCCAGGTCCCACAGGTCGGTTCATCAAAGCGGTGTTCTGCAGCAGTCTGATGTTTGTTCTGGCTCACATCTGCTTCCAGACTGTTCTATACACATATCCCCCCCTCAACATCGCCATAGGGGATAACTGCTCACAATGGGACGTCATAAGCAGACATATAGGACTGTCCAGGTAACAGCTGTAGCACCAGATATTCATTCTACTGTCAGTGATGGTTAGAGGATGTGATACACCCACACATTTGAAGGAAGATCAAACCTGATTCATTTTCTTTGCTCACGCTTTGGAATATAATATTTTTGGTTGAACGTATGTGTTTGAAGATGGAAAAATGTTTGACCTCCGTTGACCTCTCTATACATGTGTGTGTGTATTGTAGGCTTCCGTTGGATGATCCTTGGAGTATGATACGTCTTCTGTCTCCTGACCTGGGTGTGTGTGTGGTTGCCTTGGTAACAATGGTCCTGTGCAGTAGATTGGTCAGCAACCGGGAAATGGTGGCTGCTGCCAACATCACATCGGTGAGTCAGTGTGTGGGAGGTTTAGTATGACTGAAGGGTCACTGCGCCACAACAGGATTAAGCCCCAGTAATTTATTTTATAACTGCATTTTGATATAACATATGAATTTCATTGGAACCAATTTATTTTGAAATGCTTTCACTTTAAATATCAAACTTGTCATGCTTGTCCCGAAAGACACTCTGATCAGATACCCTTTATGTCCCCTCTGTCATCATTTCATTTATTTAAGACAGGGAAAAGGTTATCATGTTTAAACATATGAAAAATGTTTCTCCTTATTCACAGATTGATGATAGTTTGATTGATTGTGTTTAGTTGGTTGAAAAGTAGAAATATTTATGAGATGCTGAAACTCAAAACTGTTAGTTAAATGGACCTGTTACTTAACAGTTCTGTAAACGTGGTATGCATGTCATGGTAAGTCATTAGGGAAGTGAGCTTAATCACATTTTATTTATGGACTTTTGTTTATTGGTTTTCCATGACGATTTCATAAACATTCAAATTAGATACATGTAAAATGAGTTTTTTTGGTTTTAGCCCTGCAAGCAGCAGTGTCTAATTAAGGCTCTTGGTTTGTCATTCGGTGTCTCTGGTGTGACTGTATAGCCGTTAGATATTTATGACCCCCTAAGGAAGTTTTCTCCAAATGTTGGTGACCTCTTGACCCATCATTACCATTTAAATCATTGAAAATGTATTCAAATAGATAAGATATTCATGGTCTGCTGAGGATGAACCTAATGTTATGTGACGCCTGCAGATCCAATGTGTGGTCCCACACAGTTACGCTGTAAAATCGTAAAATATTGTCAAAGCGGCCTTGAGGGATGCTAGTGGAGTTTTACACTATACCGTTGTGCTGTTACTAGCAAATCATGAATATATATGATATGATGTTGAAAGCTGCACCAATTAATAGTTTTATTTGAAGAAGGGACTTAATAGCTGTTTTTAGTGAAATATATTCACCTCAGCTCTACTGAGCTTTTTACCTTACATGTCTCACTTGTATGTCAGACACAAAGCATCATTATCATCTCATTGGAATCGGGTTTGTGTCAACCTGAGAATTAACTATCCAATACTCTTTCTCCTTAACCAACACAATCATATTTTGCTCCCAAGGTGCTCAAATCTTCCCTGTCAGTAGCTGTAATAGATCTGAGCGTGCAGCGAGGTTTCAGCGCTCTTATGATGGAAACAACTGCTTGTTAACTTCTGTAGTGAACAGTATTCCTGGAAACTATCATGTGTAACAGGAATAATCAATGCTTGGATGCATTTGGAATCTCGCTGGAGTGATTTATCATATTTCAAAAAGGATGAGTTTCTGAGGTATTTCTGACCCAGTAATAAGATACAGGAGATCTTTGCCACCTGTTACTGTAAATCATGACTAATAGTTTTTCTGGTACTTATTTATTTCCTTAGCAGAGGGATATAAGACCACCCTGTGTGTATTTGAGGAAGGGTTTCTGTTTTATTCTTAGTCAGCCCATGTTGTAATCATGCGATGAAACCTGAATATCTGGATTCACATCTATAATGTTGAACGTTGAGGAGAGACAACTCGCAGTAAAGAAAAGTGGAACAATTTGTTTTTGTGTTAAATGCAGCATTACACCCCGAGGCTGCTGCGCTCTCCCATAAGCAGCACATATATTGCAGTATAAGCACTGTGTTTAGAAGCAGGGGCCCTATAAAACCTTGACTTCGACATGGTAAGCATTTCCATAAGCAGTTAAGAAGACGTCCTACTGAAGTCAAACCAACAATGAAGATAAATATAAGCACTCAAATGTTGCACACATGCAAGGACAGGATGCAGGAACCATGACGCAAAGGGACTTAAAGGTTCATACTGTATCAGTATGTAGTGTCTCTACTGGGACATGTCTCCATGCTTTCAAAAAGCTCTTCATTTTTCTCATACTGCCTGTGCTGCAGCACCTCTTTTCACCCTTTGTCTGAAACCAGAGCCCAGTCTGCTCTGATTGGTTAGCTGGCCGGCTCTGTTGTAATTGGTCAACCGCTTAGAAGATGTCCTGCCCATTAGCCTATCACGTACAATGTGCTGGAGTGCTCGCCAATATAAGTGAGTGTTACACAGTGATGTCACTATGTTACAGAAGTAAACAAAGGAGACCAATGGAGGCGTTTCAGGTAGGGGGCGGGGGGTCTGAGTGTGAGCATAATAGGGCCCCTTTAAGCCTCACCTACATAGATATATACTGGTGGAATCACTGCAACTGAAACTGTAACTAAAGAAAAACAAATGTAATGTGGATTTGATGTGTTACTGTATTTTACCTTAAAAACTGTAATAACTCTAACCTTACTTTCCCAAATCAGCTTGAAGACTATACAACAGAAAAAAACACAGTTGGTGATGAGGAGGAGGAGGAGGAGGAGGAGGAGGAGGAGGAAGAGGAGCAGGATAAGAAAGAGGACGAAGAGGAGGAGGCATCAGGAGATGAAGACGAAGAAGAAAGGTTATCACCTGGTGACCCTGACGAGGAGGTTTCCACAGCAACGAGAGCCAAGCAGCTGGCTGAGCGTCTGAAGGCCAAGGCCCGGAAAATGCTGCGGGACCTGGGGAGGATCTTAGCCATCAGCCTGCTGGCGCTGGCTGGTAGGATCTGTGACACAGCTTTACCTCCTCAGGGTCACATCACTGGTTCATTTCCATAGCTGGCTGAGGAGACTTCACCTATACTTAGTGTGGGTTAAGGCCTCTGACAGTACTTAGATTGGCACCATCTTTTCTACTAGACCTACTCAAAAAAAACTCACAAAGTTGAGTTGGTGATATCAAAGTTGCATTTGATATCCTCTTTATCAGGTTCATATTTCTACCCTGTGCCTCTACTCCCTCTGGAAGGAAATGTGGAGTTTTTCAGGCCAAAAACTATACAGGAAAGTAAAAAATACCAAAAGCAGAATAGTTCAAGTATTTGTCAGAGAAAATGGGCACTTCCTACAAACGGCAATGTGTATAAGGCAGTTTTTTTATTTGTTACAAGAATTTTTTTCCCAAGATTCCAACCTTTATTACAAACTAGAAAACAAAAACGCAGGCTATGGCTATGCTGGAAGGCAAATATGAAGTTTACATTAATTTTTATCAGATTAGATGAGATTACACTTTACTATCATTGCACAGAGTATAACAAAATGCAGTTTGCCCCCAACCAGAAAGGGTCCTGGCTGTCCTTGAACATTGTTAAAGGAGTTGAATGGACAAAAAAAGCTCAGGTCCAAAAGTTGTTGTCGGCTATACGATGTATACGCACAGCAGTACCGAGTGAAACAACTTGAAACTAGTATGCAGATAACTGCTAATTCACAGAAACTAGAAAACATCGGGGGTGTTTCTCATTGTCGAGGAAGGCTGCTCCAGAGCCACTATTTCAAGGATGCTACGTCATCGAGTCCCGTCGAAGGGCTGTTCCAATGTCCAGGATGCTCGGAATTCTACCGAGGCCGGCGTCCTTCGTTGTGGGAAATTTCGGGGCTGCAGATGTGTATCCTCCATGGTTTTAAAATCTCCACAATGCTTTGCGCACGGACCAATTTCCAAATCTTTGGCGGAAATCGTGCTCCATTTAAGGCGGGGTCTCGCATATGACGCACACCTGCACACCTGTTAGCCTGTTCCACCATTCTTTGTTTTCCGAGGCTAGGAAGGATTCCGGCCTGGGTAAAAGAATCCAAGAATGCTGGACATTGGAACAGTCCTGCGGCGGCATTCGATGACGTTGTATGCTTGAAAATTTCAAGTTGAAATAGTGGCTCTGGAGCAGCCTTCCTCGACATTGAGAAACACCCCCAGAGTCTTGCATAGTGCACAGGCCGCCATCTTGGATCTCTACTTTGCATTTTGGGAAAGAGGAAATATGCATTTTCCCCAAATTGTTAACTGTTTATTAAAACACGACTAACACATTTGATCTAAAAAACATGCTGTAACTGTCTATAACAGTCAAACACTAAATACTTATGATAAAAGAAGAAATGTCGGTCTGTATTTTATTATAGCGCTTTTTTTCAATGACTCAAAGCGCTTTTAGGAGAATGTGAATTATTAATTATTGTATTGATGTTTCTCTCCTTCTCACCCCCCCCCCCAGGCATCACCCTGCCCTCTGCCTTCTCTGCCATCTACTTCCTGCTTTTCATCGGCGTGTGCACGTGGTGGGCGTGCCACCTTCCCATCAGCCACCTGGGTTTCAACGCCCTGTGTGTGATGGTGGGCTTCTTCACTGCGGGTCACATGGTGTGTTTGTACCTGTACCAGAGCCTGCTGGCCCAGGGCATGTTCCCCCCCCACAGCCTGTGGGCCAGGTGAGACTGCACAGCGCTTACTCTGATAGATGGAGAGACTGTTATATATATGCGTTATATATATGCACTGTCCCAAACTAGGATGTTATCTAGGCATTGCACAGGAGTTAAAAATACAAACATATCAACACTAGAAAATAGTTTTATAAACAGGGCCGTCCCTGGACAAAGTTATGTGACGAGGCCCTTTGTGTCGCGACCTCTTAAGTGAACTAAACAACCGGACTCTGGTGGGCTAAAATAGGTGGTCTCGGAGCGCTTGCTTGCGAACTCTCGAGCGGTTCATTGCTGGTGTGAACGCAGTCCGCACCAAAACATAGAAAGCGTAGTATTTCCGAGTCACAAGAACGCGGATATCTTCACAAATCTTTCGCGAAAGAGTCTTTCAAGACATCCGCGGTTGTTTGTTAAAGAGTGAAGCAGAATGAAGTGTTGAACAGTGTCGTGTAAAGTAAAAATTCTCCGTCAGCTACATACAAGTAAGAACACCTGTCGTCGGTGAAACGCCCCTCCTTACTGCAGAACGTCTCTCATTATATGTGTTATAATGTTTTTTAACGGACGTTGTCTGATAATCATATGCGCGGCCGCTCGTGTCTGTTGATCTCCAGATTAACAGCAGCATGAGAATAACCTGCCGAAAGTGCCGATGCTCCATGGCGGAGGCTCCGGAAGAAATTGCCGGGATTCGCGTTTTTAACTCTTTAATGTCTGACCAATGGTTGAACAGCGTTTCCGTGCACATGACTTTTGTTTAAAGTTTATTGTCCGTTTGAGTTTTGCCTGTGTGAACGCAAATCGAACCTTCTGAAAAATGAAACAATGTAACAAACTGTGATCTGGTGCGCACCAGAAAACGGACTATTATGTGAATGCACCCCTAAGAGTTTGGTTACAGGTATTATATTTTTATTATATGTATAATTTATATAATGTTATTCATTTTCGTATGTGCTGCCTTATACAGTTGATCAAGTCCTGTAGATTATTATATATTTTCTCTTGTCATCTCATCCGTGATTTAACATGTCAGATCGGCAACAGGCGACTAGACCTACAGACTCAAACATGTAGCTCAGTTTTTGTGACTCATAAGTCACAAGGAAAAACAGCAGTTCTTCCTCCAGGTGAAGATATTCTTTGCAGGCATGTTCATCTTGTAGCATGAAGGGATTTCGCCAAAAAAAAACAATATACTATCAATTCACAATAACCTCATATGTGAACTTTAAGTAACTTCCACATCTCCAAAAACCCTTCGTATGTGCTTCACTACATCTTGTTTTCCTCAGATACCTAGAAAGTTATCTTCCCTCCACCATGTCTCTGTTCGCAGAAACATGCACCATGCCTCACAGTTAAGTAGACGACATATTCATTAGGCAGAGGGTTGGAAGCTAATATTCCTAATTAAATCAAAATATCTATTAATAGTGTGCTCGCAATATGACATCTATGTGGGAAGAAAACAGAAGGTGCCTAAGAGAATGTGTGAGATTAGAGACAAAGAGAAGAAGGTGAATGTGTGTGTCAGAGCAGAGTGTTAAGGCTGTACAAAGGCGTGGAATCAAATGCACGATGCAGAGACAAACAAAGTATCAAAATAAAGTGTTTTAATGTAATCAGGTAACAACACACTGAATACATAAAGCAACAAAACAAACACTCAATAAACTGTCTAACATATACTA